TTTCATAAATTCTGCATGCATAATAATTGAAAAAAAATGTTTTGAAAGTTGCCTAATGATGATTCCTGATTATCTCACTATGTATAAGATTGGTTCCCAAATCTCCCAAGGATACCAATAGCAGCAGAGGCTCAAGTCTCTTATCAAAAATGGCCTAGTACGTGCAGAAAGCTTAGAATCATTCCCCCATATATTTTGTCATTTCTAGATTATATATAATATCTATTATGAAAATTCTTTGCAAAAAATTGTTAATTGCAATGATTTAGAGAATAATAACATTAAAGACACGTGAACATGTTCGGTTCAGGCCCAATGTCTTTTTCTAATATTTTCTGTCTGCTATTGGTTGAATCCATGGATGCAGAACCTAAAGTTATATAAGGGGCAGATTGCATATTAATTAGAACTATATCAGATGACCTAGCCTTTTTAGTATTTTTGAGTAAGAAATAATGACATGTATAAAAGTAGGATGTTTCTAAAAATGTTATTTTAATTTTAGAAATTTAAAAACTATTTGTATGTGAAATTTTATTTACATCCATAGTTACTTTTACATAAAAATTTAAGAATACATGAACATAAACTGATAAGATGATGATGAAGGTTTTGGGGAGAAAGGGACAGATTTGTGTTGAAAGGGAAGGTGTAAATATTCAGACAAGTATAGAAAAAATCAAATAGTGTGTTTGCATAAGTACATTTATATATAATTTCTTTGGATAACAAAGATTGTGATAATAATTACTACTTTCACTGTTGTTTTAATGACACTTTAACATTTAATTCTTCAAATATAAGAAAATGGGAAAATATGATTTTTCTTAAAAGCTTTAATGTTGGTTGAACCACATGATAGGAATTGTAGAAATACATGAAGAAGATGTGAAAACATAGTTTAAAAATATTGTAATAATGTTTATCAAATGGCATTACTTTTGTCATTGTATTACTTCTATCAAAAATTAGTACTTTATATAATTTTACCTATCATAAAATTAATACCACTTTTAATTTCTCCATGTATGTTCTAGACATCAATTCCTTATTCTTTTACTTAGTTTTTATGAGATTTTTCTATGTTAGAATTTGTACTAGTTTCCATTTGTATCACAAGTTAGTATTTTATTTCTTTTATGTCTCTCCAGCCAACTGAATCTTATCCTTGATTTTATCTCATGAGAATAGAGAACATTTTCACTTTAATCCTTCTGCATGTAATTTAGTTTCTCCTATCCATTTTCACTCTTATATTTCTTATTGGCAGAATTTTTTTCACCAGATACCCAGGTATTAACTTTCTCTTTCATTCTCTTTGCTAATTTTCATCCCTCTTTCTTCTGAAATTGAGATAGTTTTTCTAAAAACATCTCCCATCTTTAGGTCTTCAATAAAATTGCACTATCCCCCAAGTCCAAATCATATAGAGGAAAAAAAATCAGCATTATTTCCTCCTCTTTCTTCACCTCCATCTCCTCTTCTTCCTCCTCTTCTTCTTATGGTCTGATAGATTATATATTTTCCCAAGGAATTTTAAGGATTTGGGAGATGTAAATGTTTGGTTTAGTTAGTTTGAAGGAGGAGGTTTTTTCAGAATTTGTGCTGTAAGATAATGGCTTTGATCTGGTAGCACTACTCAGATGCCCTTGATCTCTAGCAAAACAATAAAAGTTATCCTTTAGAAATTGGAAAGAGTAAATTTTAAAGCTCTTACTAAAGAAATAGTTCCTAAGGATTCTATATATAACTGGCTAATCACACTTACACACACACACACACACACACACACTCACACATCTCTTAAAATATTAAAATTAAAAGAGAAGAGTTTTTGGCAAATAATATTATTCTTACAATTTATATGTACTTTAGTGTATAATAACAGGATATAATTACAAAGATAGAAACAAGTGTTATTCAGGCCATACCCTATTGTATATATTGCTCAGAATATCAATTATTAAACTGTTATGAGTTTTCATTCTGCTCTTACTTTCATTTTATACAGTTGTTGATATAAATAGTATGTAAATGGAAAAGAAAATGATAGATGAAAAAGAAATAAGCAGTAAGAACATCCACCTCTACATTTTGCAAGAATGAGAATGATGCTCTGAGCAGTTTTCTTTAAAGATTCAATACCTGGAATTATACAATCAGGTCAGTCATTAATCAATGAATATTTGGTATAAATTTATTCATATTATTGTTTAAAAATCTACATATTCAAAGTACTGATATTCTAATAGTACCATGAAATTTCCTCTTTCTTGCTATACAAATATATAAAAGCCAGACTTATGAATAAGAGCTGTGTGATTTCAAGTAGGAAAAATGAAGAATAAGTTTTATACTGTTTAGTGTTTTAAAAAAATATATAACATCTGTTTCATTTTCTTTTGTCAATGATGATATGGGAAAATTTTAAATCTACAAGAACTGTTTTGTTGAAAGATAGGGATGTCACTGTGTACTGGGACAATTGACTAACATGTGTGAGTCCCTAGGTTAAATCCCTGGTCCCACCAAAACAAACAAAAAAGCAAAAATCCCATTGAATTTCACACAATCTCTTCCAGCTTCCTACCAAAAATTTAAAACAGAATAAATAAATCACAAGACAGGGACATAGCTGAACTATCAACTGTAATTTATAACCTTTTATAAATTTACATAATCTCCTTTTATAGATTTACATAATCTCGTAAATGCCTAGTGAAAGAGGTTGCATTTGTAGGTAAGCCTGCAGAGGGTTGTGGTGTGGGTTAATACATACCCATGTGTGACAGCAAAAACAAGATTGAGACCTTTCATATGAAAAGACTCACCTCCAAAGGGGAGGGTTGGGAGGTGAGGGGGAATGGGGGCAGGAAAGATGGTGGAATGAGATTGACATCATTACCCTAGGTACATGTATGACTGCACATACAGTGCGACACTACATCATGTACAACCAGATAAATGAAAAGTTATGCTGCAATTGCGTGCAGTGAATCAAAATGCATTCTGCTGTCATATATACCTAATTAAAATTAATTAATTAATTAATTTTTAAAAAAGACTCACCTCTCAGTCCACATTTTCAATACTATGTTCCCTTAATTCTTGGCATTCAAAGGCATTGTTATGCTAAATCAAGCCCCCCCCCCCATACTACTCATGTTCAGTCTATATCTTTACCATCTCAAACAACTCAGTCACAAAAGCAGGCTCCTTACAAATAAAGTTTCCAAATTCTGTTCCTAATGCACATTGAGGACTTTCATGCTACATCTTCAAAGCTAGGAAAAAAATTTTGACCTAAAAAGTCTGAGTATGTTGGAAGAAGAAAATGTTCTAGCAATTGAAATAAGATTCTCCTCTACATCTCAAAAATATTGATTAAGCTCACATCATGAACTTTAAATATAAATAAATATGTCATTTTTAATAAAGGGAATTAAGTCATTAAACTGATAAACTTCAAGTCAAAACATAAATTAGTTTGTTGAAGAAGTTGGAAGTCTCTAGATACATGGTCAAATGGAATAATACTCAGTTAATTTGTTTACTGTGCAAAAATATTTGTAAGAGTCTTAATATGGAAAAACAAAAGTGACCAATAGGCTTATTATAATTTTTGAGTCAATGATTAGTGTTTATATTGAGGAGAAAAATAATTTATGCCACAGAATTGCTTTCCATTTCTATTGTGTCTCTTAACAAAATATGCAAATACACTCTGTTCTGAATGAATCTATGAAAACCATGGCAGAATAGACAAAACTATCACCTTAATTCCTCTAGAATAATGATGAGTAATAAACATTTAAGATCTATTAATCTTCAAATGACTGGTTAGAAAACAAACTTTTTTTTTGCCTTCCAAATTGTCTTATAAAATATTGAAATAAATGTTTCTATCTATGGGTACACATATATGAAATGGACTCAGGTGGGAGATACATGGTAATTTGCCATTCTGTTGCTTCCTGGTATACTGAATAGTCCAATATGAATGTATTAAATAAAACGTGTATAAATCAAATTGCATGCATACCACAGGCATCTTTGTGGGACTTGGTTAGTGACAGACTCTCTGGTTTCCCTTCCACATGGAGTCATGTGTTATTCTTACTTTTTTCAGAGTTCGGAGTGGTAAGTTTTCTTCATGTTGGAAGCATGTATGGCTGTGTCATGGAATAGAAACAAGATAACAGTGAAATACCTGCAAGGTATCATGATTTCTTCTTTCATCTCCAACCAGGCTCCATTCTCACTGAAGTCATCAGCTTCTTTCCATGATGAACAAAATACACTTGATGTTCAGAAGCTTCAAGGATCACATCAGGGTGGATAAAGCTAACCTCTCCCAATATATGACTTGTTAGTAATAGTTCAGCTCCCTTTACAGGAACAGTGACCTTTGAAAAACAAAATGTGTACTGTAGATGATATTTTTAGGCAATTTTAAAAGCCATAGTTACTGAAAACTTTGGAATTATTTTAAAAAATTTGATCTGATTCATTTGCTAAAACTTCTTTTCTTTTCTTACACTCATCCTTAATCTACTCATAAAATTACTGTAGTAGACTTTAAATACCATTATATTGTGCTATGATATGAATTGTATGTATAAACTGTTATGATAATATGAATATACTTTTTAAACAACATTAAAAAGAATTTTAGAAATGACCATTATTTCATAATGGAGGTGTTGATGGTATGAAAGACAAACCCACTACCTTAAAATCATATTTCATATAGCTAAGATCATTACACTGTGAAACAAAACACTCTCCTAAAGCATAGTAGAATCTCAAATACGTGACAGAGCTATTTACTAAAAATAGAAATGGCTCCAGCTGAATTATCAGAGAGGCAATAAGTCAGAATATTCTTAGAGTTCACACATACCATATGACCTACGCAAAGGAGAAGTTTAAAAATAGAAATTTGGCTCAAGAGAGACAAACAATTCCCAGAGCATTCATTTATGACCTCAGTATGGAAGGGAATAAAAACTACCTTCCTTCCTGTTTTAGTTAGGGTTTTCAATGTTGAGATCAAAATTCTCAAAAAAGAACAACTTACAAGAGGAAAACTTGGGGGCTCATGGTTTCAGAGGTTTCAATCCACAGATGGCCAACTCCATTGCTCTGGGTCCAAGGTGAGGCAGTGCATCATAGGGGAAGGGTCCAGAAAAGGAAAATTGCTTAGAGCAGGCAGAGAAGGGTGGGGAAAAGGGGCATGGGGAAGATGCACTCTTGCAGGGCACACTCCCAAGTGTCCTACTTCTTCCAGTAGGAAGTCCATTCAAACTATGAAGAACTGATTAGATTACAGCTGCCATAATAAAATAACTTTACCTGTGAATATTCCTGCATTAATGAGAGTTTGGGGGAAATCCTCACACCTAAACCATGATTTCCATACTTTTTTGTTTTGTATATGAGTACATAGGTGTCCACATGCATGCCTGCATGCTTGAAAATGTGTTTATGCATGTTTACTTTTTTTAGGTTTTATTTTAGCTTGCACAGATCGAATAAAAAATAACTGATAAATTTCATAGAGATTGTTTTGTTTTCTGAGGGCTATAAAATTATATTAAAGAGCAACAATGACAATGTTTATATCCAGTCAAATAAAGAGAACCTCTTGCCAGTGACAGAAATATTCTTTCAGATGAAGCATCTGAAAGTATTCCTATTTTTAAGCATGATTTGTTACTATGCCATTTACAGTATTACAGAACATTAACTATGAGGCAAGTTAACATGACTTAATATTAAGAACTACTTTTATGTTTTATGTATAGGAGTAAAATCATAATAATTGAAATTAATGAAATATAATCCAGATATGCTTTTTGATCATTAGATATTACATATGTATTAAAAATATGAAAGAATATTCTTTTGAATATTGGTAGTAGATTCACAAATCCACTAAATTAAAACAGTTTTCACTGTTCAGTTTCCCATGTGTGTTTATTTGCCTAATTAATTTTATTTACTCAAGTGTACACTGAGTGTGACTTGTTGAAAATTAGAGACACACATTTTTGTTTCTGAGAGTGTAGGTCCTAGGAAATCACATTAATACAACCATATCAAACCCCACTCAGAAAAGATTGTCTTGGGAATATATTGTTATTTGGAAGGACTAGAAGGTCAAGAATTCTGCAAATATTCCTATGAATGTAGAGAAAAATAAAACATATTGCCTGATCACAGAAAGTGTTGGCATAACTACAACCATCTTCCTTACCCCACCCCAACTTTGTGAATACTATTCTTATTCTCAGGAGATAGAGACTTGATGGTCTTTGTTCTCTCCTTAAGAGAAAAAAAAAGTTGCTGTTCTCTGTACTTAAAAACAAAATCAGGTGATGCTTGATATGCCAGTAGCAAGGGCTAAACCTTCCCCTAAGGGTCCGTTATGATCCTGGCCTACAAGTGGTAATGTTCAAGGGGGAGTTGCTGCTGCTCTTCCTCTCTCCTTTTTCTTCTCCCTTCCTCCCTCCACTCTCTCTCTCTCTCTGCCCAGAGCGGCCCATCTGAGGGCCTGACAATAAATTGGCCTATGCCTCTATCTTTGGTGTGCCTGTGTGATCAGTCCTACAACACTTTTCTTGCAGAAAAACTTCAGTATAGTCTTTTGAAAACAAAATATATGCTCAATAAGCATTTTCAGGTCAAGAACAAAAGAGGACCACCTTGGAAATTCTCTCTTAGATGAGCCTTAGATTTTATATTGTTAGAGCTGAATTTATTTTCAAAAGCTTCCTATGGGCATTTATCAGCAAAGATATAACTTAAGCTATCATAATTTGTAAAACCCCTAAAATAGTATTTGCAGAGGCTGAATTTCTAAATGAAGAATGATAACTATGAAAGACTAAAGTTCAGCTTAAATTTTGTAGAAAGTATATCAGTCTTGATTATAACAAAAACCACTTTCAAAGAAACATTTAGAGGATCATCATTCTTAAAAACAAAACAAAACAAAACAAAAAACCCAGGTAGCTTCTACACAGAGAAGTTAACACTGTTTAAAGACAAACTTAAGCACAAAATGTAAGGAGTTCATTTGAGCAGACATTGATTCATTGGGCAGCACCAGAACAGGAGTGGCTGGGCTCCAATGAAGGAATGCAAGGGAAAAGTTTCACAAAGTTCATGGAAGCAAGACCAAGAATATAACTGATTAAGGTGGAGTAATAGCCTTACAAATTTCCTGGAGAGGTTAATTGACAATTTCTAATTGGTGAAGTTCCTGGTAAGAGGTTAGTTGGCAGTTTCTAATTGATACTGCTTAAGTTTCATTTGTCTAGGATGCTATGATTTACATTGAGTTGGGTTTCCTGTTTCAGCTTCCCCAGTATCTGGGATTACAAATGTGTTTCCCTACACCTGGCCTCAATTAATTATTTTTAAACAACACGGTACCACAAGTTTTCAGTGGTTTACTCATTTAATTTGGGACATTTAAAAATAGTTAACAGTACTCAACGTCTCCATACATTTGCCTTTTAAACTAGGTTACTGCTATGAGATTGATATTACGCTATGTGTTATTTTGTATTTGATGTGTCCTTCTCTCTTTGCAGAATTCTTTCTAGTAACTCTGGAACGTACTTTACTAGAATTAGTAATACTTGGAAATGAAGTCTTTTCTGTTTGGGGTTAGCTATGTGACTTTATTCCTTTGAAATTTGTTTTCAAAGTTTAAAGTTTATTGCTTTGTACCCAAATGTAATAATAATCTCAGTGAAAAATTGTTAGAAACCGGTTTTGTTAAATCTTTCATAATTTTAATATTTAAACAGAACAAGTTCATTGTAATGCTGATGATGGCTAGTGCTTTATAATAAAGAATTCACTGGTATTTGACTCTGGTTCCTGGAAGGGGCTTTTAAAACTTTGCCACTTCCACAGTGTTAGGAGTGTCGTGGTTATTCATAAGTTCTGGGACTGCATGAGTTCATTGCAAATTGGGGAACTCCTGGTGGGCTTCTAGAAAACTTCAGGATGTTGTTGGTCACCAGAAAGACCAACCACATAATTATAAGTTGGGGATTTTGAGGTAGCCTGCCTATTGTTTAGGGATAGAGGAGATTTAGATCAATCACAAAGCCAATGATTTAATCAATCATGTGTATGTAATGAAACTGCAATTAAAAGTCTGGACAACAAACCTCAGGGGAGCTTTGCGGTTGGTGAACATATAAAATCCAATATTAATATCTCACTTTAATTCAGGAGAGTAATTATGTAGGGGGAAGCTTTGAACTTCTATGTTCAGGACTCTTACAGACCATATCTTCTGCATCTATGCATTTGATTATTTCAGATCTTTATCCATTTCAATAAAAATGTGAGCACAAGTAGATCACTTTGCAAAGTTAAATAAAATCCAAATAAAAATCTTAGATATAAAAATAAAAAGCTTGAGGTTAAAAACAAACAAGCAAAAAACACTGGATAAGATTCAGAATGGAACAGACAATCTAGAGAAAAAGACATAGCAACACAAATTATCCAAAAGGAAACAGTATGAAAAAGATGAGAAAAAAAAACACCCACAAAATCAGTGAGCTCTTTCAGCAGCCTCATGTAATTGGAGTTAGTGAAAGAGGAGAGAGAGAAGAGAGAGAAAAAAATATTTGAAGAAATAATAGCAAAAAGCCCAAAGTTGATTTTTTTTATTAGTTGCTCAAGACAATACAATGATCTTGCATATCATATATTTGATTTAAATGGGGTATGAATTCTTATTTTTCCACGTGTACAGATTGCAGGATCACATTGGTTATACAGCCACGTTTATACATACAGCCATACTAGTGTCTATTGTACTCTACTATCCTTCCTATCCCCCCTCACTTCCCCTCCCCTCCCATCACCTCTCTCTACTCAATCTACTATGACATATTTCTCTCTCTCTTTTTTTTCTTCCCCCTCACACCATCTTATATGTAATTTTGTATAACAATGAGGGTCTCCTTCCATCTTCCACGCAATTTCCCTTCTCCCTCCCATTCCCTCCCACCTCTCGTCCCTGTTTAGTGGTAACCTTCTTCTCATGCTCTTCCTCCCTACTCTGTTTTGAGTCATGCCCCTTATATCAAAGAAGACATTCAGCATTTGTTTTTTAGGGATTGGCTAACTTAATCTGCTCTAATGCCATCCATTTCCCTGCAAATGTCATGATTTTGTTATTTTTTAGTGCTGAGTAATATTCCATTGTGAATAAATGCCACATTTTTTTTATCCATTCATCTATTGAAGGGCATATGGGTTGGTTCCACAGTCTAGCTATTGTGAATTGTGCTGCTATGAACATTTATGTAGCTGTGTCCCTGTAGTATGCTCTTTTCAGTTTTTTGGGGTATAGTCTGAGAAGGGGAATAGCTGGGTCAAATTGTGGTTCCATTCCCAGCTTTCCAAGGAATCTTCATACTGCTTTCAAAATTGGCTGCACCAATTTGCAGTCTTACCAGCAATGTACAAGTGTACCCTTTTCCTTGTATCCTCGCCAGCACTTGTTATTGTTTGACTTCATAATGGCTGCCATTCTTACTGGAGATGGTATCTTAGAGTAGTTTTAATTTGCATTTCTCTGATTGTTAGAGATGATGAGCATTTTTTCATGTATTTTTTGATTGATTGTATATCCTCCTCTGAGACGTGTCTGCTCAGATCCTTGGTCCATTTGTTGATTGGGTTATTTATTTTCTTGTTGTTTGATTTTTTGAGTTATTTGTATACCCTAGAGATTAGAACTCTATCTGAAGTGTGAGGGGTAAAAATTTGTTCCCAGGATGTAGGCTCCCTATTTACCTCTCTTATTATTTCTCTTGCTGAGAAAAAACTTTTTGATTTGAATATGTCCCATTTGTTGATTCTTGATTTTAACTCTGGTGCTGTAGGTGTCCTATAAAGGAATTTGGGGCCTGATCCCATGAGACAGAGTTGATTTTTTAAAAATAAAAAATATAATCCTATAACTGAAAGAGCTCAGCAAATTCTAGCATGAGAATTATGAAAAAAACTACATCAAGGCGCACTATAATTAGAGATTAGATTATGATGTTAATTGTGAAAAAAATGATCTATATATTCAAAATAATTTTAATAGAGTCCAGCTAGATAACTAGAAACCAGTAAGATAAAAATTTACTGTTGAAAGGCAAAGAAACCAGAATAGCCAAAATGGCTGTGAAAAAGAAAAAAAAAATTGAGGATGTTGAATCTGATTTCAAAAGTTACTGTAAACTATAGCAAGGAGAGAGTCTGTCACTAGCAAAATCACAGAGCACAAATTCTACAAGATTATACAAATATTCAGTCAGTTGACTTTTGACCAAAGTACAAATATGATTCCACATTGAAAACAGATTTTTTTGTCAAATGACAAAACTATTGAAAACTCATATATAAGTAAATGTATTGCTTCCATTCCTCATACCTCACACAAAATTTAACTCAAACTTTACCTTGAACCTATAAAAAAACTACAGCGACAAACCTAAGACTATAGAATTTATAGGAGAAAACAAAAGCAGCAAATCTTTATAACCATGAGATTCAGGCAAAAATGAGTGAAATACAACCCACAAAGTATAATCTATACAAGAGTAATTGATCTTTTTTAAAAATTAAGAAAATCTGTTAAATAACAGAAACAAATTAGTAGGAGAATTAATAAACAATGCATAGATTGAGAAAAATATTTGTAAGTGAATCAGATATTCTTACATCCAGAGTATAACTATAAGTAGATGAAAATGTTAAGTTTTATTACAGTTGTGATATCAATGATAAAAATAATTTGAAAGCTGCAACTCTCATACACTGATGGTAGTAATGCAAAGTGTCAGTCATTTTGGAATATATGCTAGTAGTTTCTTAAAAATTTAGATGGGCTTATCATACAACTCAATGATACAGTTCTTAGGCATTACACAAATATACTTAAACAAAATGTGCAATTTTTTTTTTTTTTACAGTGGCTTTGTAATCATCCAAGCTGGAAACAACCCAAATGTCTTTCAACTGGCATATGAATGAACTGTGATGCATTCAAACAATGAAATACTACTCAATAACCTAAGAAAGAATAAACAGGTGATGCATAGAACAACATGGATGAATCTCAAATATACCATTCTAAGTGAGAGAAGCCAGTTCCAGAAAAGTAAATACTCTATGATTCTTTTTGTATGACATGCTGAAAAAGGCCAATAGAAATTTATACATTTAACTCTAGTTGTAAGAATTATATTTTACGAAGTGAAATCAAAATAATACAGAGGAAAACAAATTGCAAAGATGATAATATTAATGATAACCACCTTAGAATTATGTAACATTGTTTGGTTTACAAAGGCATTTTATTTTTATTTTCTCATTTTCTCCTCAGGCCCCTGGGGATTTGTATAAATCTGAGTCCTGATTAACAGAAATCGACTCTAATTTACAAGTTTCTTCCATTGCTTCATTTCATTGCATATCTCAATGACAGTGATATTTAGTAACATCATCAATAAATATGGAATTATCGCTGTTATAAAATATCTTTTCCTCCCTTTTACAACAAGTAAGGAGAAAATATATAGCACATTAAAAGCAAAAGTTGTCATTGCACTTTGACTAAAATGCAAAAAAATCACACACACACACACACACCACCACCACCACCACCACCACCACCAAATTTAGTAATGCTGTCCGAAGCAAGTATTAAAACTTGGGAAATGTAGTGAATAAAGCTAGATGGAAAATAAAGAGTCATATGTTTTTTAAAGTCTATACATATGATCTAACCTCTGACTGTCCTATTCCCTTAAGCCACATGCCTTGTAATATATTTTTACAATGTCAGAGTTTCAATATCATGTGGATTATTAGAATTTGTATCTACAGCAACCCAAATGTTTGAGACCATACCCAAAGAAATAATAAGAAGAGAATGAAGGGAGGTCATATTTATAACCAGTCTGGTTTTTAGCTATTCTAAGTTCCTTTGGTTGTAAATTTTAACCCTGCTCTTGAGTTTTTAATTCATCTATACATTTAGAATACAGTCCCACAATAAACAAATCCTGAGATATATTATATGTGTATATGTCTTGCATTTTTTCAAATAAATTACACAAATGGATTTCTAGAAAAACCTTGAAAGATGCATGAATATATACATATACATGAATATAAATAGCACCGGCACACTGCTACATTTGTGTTGAATGTGTTTACATCTATTTTTTCCATAAGCATCTATGGGATTTCCATGATGATGTTGTTTTAAGGATAATAGGAAGCAAACACTTTCTGGTGATGCAATTAAATCACCAAGCATAAAGATATCTAAACATATCAACTGACAACACAGCGCTGCTACGAGGTAACTGCTCCAACATCTGCGACACTGAAGTTAATCATGACTCCAGCAAGAACATCCTCCATGTGCTGCATAAGAGAGACACTAATTAATCATTAAGTGGCCTTACATCATACAGGCCTGCTGCTTCTGTTTCAAATCAACTGAAGTGGTGCAGAGCAGCAGTAGCAGGAGCAACAGCAGCAGCTCCAAATATTAAACATGAAAGAGAAAGTGTGGATTACTGAAACTCTGAGAGGAAGGTAGTTTGCAACTGATACTTGAATTGTTTAATAAATAAGCACCCAACCTCACTTTACTGATTGATGGACTGTACTGGCCACTTGCCAGAAGCATTTTCTAATTTACACTAATGGGAGGTAAATTTTCCCTGATTGTGGAGGTGTGAGTTCTTGAGACTTCCCACCTTACATCATGAAGGAATACAATATGATAGATGCGGTATTTTCCAGCCTTTACAGTTGAGGGTATAGTCCATTATTTGAGGGATTCACACATTCTCTACCCTCAGAAATATTTTATTGGTTCTCAGAAATATTTAACTAGATTAGTCAAACTCTCAGGATGATCTCATTTTATGTGCCCATTGTGAGAGATTTAGAAAATGTAGAAGAGATCACAGATCAAAATAAAAATTTCTAATAGCCACCAACCAAAGGAACCCATTGTTAAAATGTGTGTGTGTATGTGTGTGTGTGTGTGTGTGTGTGTTCTTCCTGTCACAGGAATAGCTAACCTTTACTGAGAGCTTACAGTGTGCCGGCCACTCTTCCAAGCACTTCATACATATACTCAGTCCTCACAATAATCCAATATGATAGGTACGGCCTTAGTCCATTTTCCTTGTTGCCATTACAAAATATCCAAAGTTAGATATTTTATGAGGAAAAGATATTTAGCTCCCAGTTATGTGGCTGAATGTCCAAGATTAAGCAGTGCCATAGGTTCAACCACTGGTGACAGCCCCCTTGGCTACTTCATGATACCATGGATGGCATCATGGAAAGAGAACATCCAAGAGGGAGAGGTCACATAGGAAGAAGGAATGCAAGGAATGATTCAGGAACCAGACTTGCTCTCAAAGTAACTAACTTGGGTCCTCTAAAAGCTACATCAAGGATATAACTCACAATTACCTAATTAATTCACACTAACTATGCCCCTCCTACTAAGGTTCCTCATTATAATACTGTCAAAAACATGAACCTTTGTGGATGCAATCAAACCATAACTAAAAGATAGCAGACATTGTTATTATTATTACTATTATTATTGATAGCAGGTAAACTGAGGAACTGAGAAGCTTAGTAATTTCTCCATGTACATATATTACATGGCAGAACTTGAATTTTAAATCCCACAGGCATACCTTGCTGTGGAAATTCTCATAAAAATATATGTTTACATGCCACTGATAGAATTACCTCAAGCAATGTCAAGGTGAATAGGACCAGAAATCAAGTATTTCTCAGCACTCTCCTATCCATGTATCCACAAGAAGCCTATGATTACTTAAAGTGGTTCATTGAATCAAGCCTCTTTAATATTTTTTGCTTCTCTTTGCTAGGAAAGAACAAAATCTCTGTTCTATATCTTAGTCATAGCTGCCTCCTGGGAAATTGTATCAACTTTACCAGATTTCAACAATATCTTTGGTTATCCTTAAGTGCACCCATGATTTTTGTCCTTGGAAATTGTAATTATAATTAGAAAATACTATTAATATCGTTAAACAATACTTTGAGTGGAAGAAGTCAGATAAAAATATCATGCATACTCCATAATTCCATTTATATAAAATTCAAGAAAATGCAAACCAATCTACAGTGAAATAATGACAATCACTCATTTCTTGGAGAAGGGATGGAAAGGGCAAGTGTGGGAAAGAGACTAAAAAGTAGTATGGGAGTCTTTGGGGGATGATGGACATATTGTCATCTTGACTGTAATGATGGTTTCACACATATATACGTACGTCAAAATTCATACTATACACTGAAAATTTGTGCAGTTTGTGGTATTTTCATTATATGTAAACATATTTTGTTTTAATGCTTGAAAGTCAGAATTCATTGGTTTCTTGTTTTGTTCCTGTTACTTTGACCATATTGCCTATATTACACAGTACTTTTTTTTACTTCTTCTTCTGTCTGGGTTATTGTTTCTCTGCTAATGCCTTTCAACATGCTTCAGGCAAGTTTACTGTAAAATTCATGAAAATTAACTTTCAGATGTCTCATTTGAAGTTCTTTCCAAAGAACTATACATAATTTGAATTTATAATTTTATATTACTGTTGCTCATTAGTTTGCATAATATTACATAAGCTTCAGAGCCCACAAATCCTAGATTGCCTCCTGACTGAATTTCTCTTGAGTATTGTTATAAGTAATTAAATCATTGAGTTAAGGAAGTAGTGGTGTTCTATTTTATAAAATAATGCCAAGTTTTTTTTCAAGGTGGTTGTTCCAATTTTAAACACCTCCCAGTGAGATGAAAACGTGTCTGAGATCTCATTGCTCCATATCTTTTCAGCATTTGACATTTCCGTACTCCGTTTCAACCTATGTCTGATAAATATTTGGATCCTCCATAGATTTGTTTTTATAGTCTACTGTTTCTATTTATTTTGAGGAATAGGATTTTCTCTCCTTTTATGTATTTAGAGTAAAAGACATTGCCTATGAAAATTTGTAGATAATATGAGGTCCCACATACTTTTGAATTCTTCCAAATAGGGTTCAACTTATCTTTTGCACACAATCAGTCCAGGAGAAGTGTGGCATTGGGAAGAGAGATTTGTGGGGGGTTTTATAAGGGCACTCACACAATTCCATTTGTGAAGGCTCTACCCTTATAACCAAATCACATCACAAAGTCCCCACCTACAAATACCAATTGTATTGAGGATTAAGACATGTTTTGGGAGACACAAACATGCAGCCTATGACAGGTACCAAGAACTATATCATAAATTACACTAGTATCTCAGGGTATGAAAGGTTTCAAAACTGACTTTCACTAGTTAAGAGGACTGGATAATTTCCACATCTTCTTTATTTCTAACATGCAGAACTTTATCACAAAGATAGCACTGCCTCTAATTTTGCTAATTTTTCAATTTTTATCTTCCTTGCCTAGCTCAATTCTACTCAACTTCTCATCTTCTGATGTCTGCTTAAAATACAATAGATGTCTTTAATAGAAATCTACCCAAAATGTACACTCAACTCTGGTTATTTTCTTTTCTAGGATATTGACCAGTAATTCTTCATTGTCTTGTTACCTAATTTTGTGTTAATTTGAATGTTTTTGTCCCCTCCTCCTATTGTTCTTAGAGAATAGGTCTGAATTAGGTAGTCTATTAGTAAAGGAAGATAAATTCTCATTAGTATTTTTTCAAGTAATGTTTTAAATTAAATTATCATACTTAGCATGATTAATTTTTACAAAGTGAATACACTTGTATAACCACATCAGAAAATAAAATGTTTCCTACACTTGAGAAATTCCCCTCATGATTTCTGTGTCCCTATCCACCAAGGTAACCACTGTCCGGACTTTTAATACTATAGATTAGTTTTGCCTGTTTTTGAAATTTTTAGCTCAGGGCAAAATATGATTAAGAGAAAACCTGACATTCTCAAGGTAACTCTTTATATCAGGAGAGACAGATACAAAGGCAGAAAGCAGAATAGAATTGATCTGAGAATTATGGCTGGGAAAGTACTGGAAGGTATTACTAGGATGCAGAATGGACTAGAATCATAAATATAACAAACCTATTATATTTTTTAGAAAATTGACCTGTCAAATAATACATACGTCTGGACTAAACAAGTCTATAAGCACCCCAAACAGAACCCTCATACAAAATGAAGTGCGTTTGTTTCCCAATTAGCTTATTTCCTCCTAATGTTCATTTTAGATGTAGCCAAAGAGGATAAATGAACAGAAACAATATGTTGCAATAGAATCAGAAACTATGAAGAACAGGGGACTAGTAGCAAAGGAGAAAAATTTGATTTCATTTAAGGAACATTTCCCACAACACCACACACACACACATACACACACACGCATACACACACACACACACAATATCTATCTACTGGGACTTGAGACATAATAATGTTCCAGAAACTATATTGTACCCCTCATCCTTCTTCTTCCCACATAGTAATACTTATTGTAGATCTTGTCTTTGTATTACCACTATGTAATACAAAGACAAGATCTCTTGAATGGATGGAAAATCTTTTTTTGGAGCTCATTGTTTTTCTAGACCTAAAGATGCCAATTCCAAACTGTGTATGGAAAACAGTGCAGGTCATCTGGGGATCCTAGAGTCTGAACTCAGAATGTCAGCTACAATTGATTGGATTCATTTGGAAAGTGTTTAGTATGTCATAAGTGTAGAAAGAGCAAAGGAATATTGTGTGACCAGAGGAGTTGAATGTAGTATATCAGGAGAGATGAATAGTTCTTAACAAAATTTCATCCCGGTTTTTGTAGCCCTTTAGAATTCAGATGGGGCCATATTCCTAGATTCGTCCAGTGGCACATAGATGTGAGTGATATATACCTAAAAAAGCTATTTTCTCCCTTGTTGAGGTGACCCAGTAAGCTCCTTTGGTATAGTTGAAATATGTTGTATATATGTAAAACAGCCAAGTCTCTATCAGCCTGAGTCTCTAAAGGAACTCCACAATGTACACTTTCTATTTTTTTAAGACACTGAGATTTTGAAATTATATGTCACTGAAGTGCCTATCATTAGCCTATCATTTCTAGCACAGAGATGTTATAAAATATCTCTCATGGCTATTTCCTAAAGTTCACTTATCCAAGACATTTGAGACCCAATCATCTCCTTGGCATGGGAGGTCTGGAATGAGGTGAAAGTGAAAGCATATGTAATATGGATATCTTTCAAAGAAAGGGGAGATGAAACTATCTTTATTCACAGTTTATACCTCCTGAGAAATTGGCCAATAAAATACAAAGTGAATTAGAGGAAGAAAAAAATGTACTCATCACCAGGCAGCAAAATTCTGCCTTTTTAAGGATCTGAAATAGAGAAATAGCTCATCAAAGCACAGTCAGTATCCTAAGGTTATCTGGTTTATCTTCCTATACTGTATGATACTTAAAGTTTTAAAAAATGTTTCCCAAATGGTTGTTGCTTTTCCAAGTTCTAATTTTCTGAAAGTTCACAGACATAGTCTAAAGGATCAGAATTAGGATTTTTTCACCTTAAATCATCTACTTTACCTCCATAACTTATTTCCTTATTTATTGTCATTGTCATCATACATATATACTATAAGTTCCATTGTGGCCTCACTGCAAGATAGCATGGCAGAGTAAAACCACAGTCTGCACCTACCTTGTCAGGGTTTGGATCCAGGTTCTATCACTTTTCACTCTAAGGGGGGGAATTTGGGACCATCTGCTGCCTTAGTTCGATCATCTGTAATATCAGTTGAATATCAATAGCTGCCTCATACAGTTGCTATGAGAATGACTTGAGATCAATGTCAGGCCCATGTTCAGTGCTCTATAAATATAGCTCCTCCACGTCAGCTTGGGTCTTATCTATATTGTTCACTAACTTATCTCCAGTTGCTTGTACATGGTTTTATGTGTGGCACCAGAAAATGGCCCAGAGATAAAAATGACTAAACCTACTTATCAATCTAAAAGTAAACACTTTTGTCCAGAAAGTTGAGAATGACTTCAGATATGTGTGAAGAGTCCTGAAAAACATAAATTTATTCATAGGACTTTACAGTAATGGCTTCAATAGCCTT